TCTATAGTTGCATAACAGCCTAGCCGATTGATGAAAACACTGAATCAACGGTATTCATCCGGGGACTTGCAAATGGCTGCGTCAAGATCCACCAGTTTCACTTGGAGATAGAGTCGATAAATCCAGCGATTTATCTGTAGCGAAACAGGAATCATCTAGCTTGAAACAGGCTCAAACTAAATTGTTTACCTATCGTCCATCGATACGACAGAAAAAAAGAGGTTCAGAACCGATGGGTCTATGCTACGTGGAGCGCAAGCGTACTCGCACTCCGGGATACAACGATTGCAGAAATGCAATTGTTGTCAGAATATATGGCACGGCGCGGTTGATATAATGCTCAAACACATGGCTACGGCCGCCAGTACGCAACGACCGTCTGTCGGCTCAAAAAGGACCAAGACGAGGGTACAACGATGTTACAAAATTGAACTAACAAAGAGAACTATTAAAAACAGTCGAGGTCAGAGAAGTGATGCGCGCTCCTGGTTCAGCAACGTCAAGAGAATTTGCAGTTCTTTTAATAAAGTTGCTCCTAATACATAGTCATAGTGTGTTACTGCCCCTGGTGAGGGGTAATCCCTCTTCACCTGACGATGAAAGTGACCAAAGAAATGTCACTTCGAGCCCCACCAAGACTTGGGGCATCGAAATGTTTCATTTGATGCTAGTCGATATAGATTCGTACGCTCAAGCACGTTGAGCACAAAATCTCTCTCACACACGATCACGCTACTCCTTGCAACATGTGCATCCATGATCGCGAAGAAAAGTGAAGTCGGAATCCATCACACTTGAGAAGAAGAACAGTGAGATGAGTATTTCATCGTTTTGGACCTGATTAAATAATATGGTGTTATCCTTGATCTACCTTTGCTCAGGAAATACGTCCCATAGATAAGATAGCATCATCGACCCGTGAAGATGCCTGCCGCTCGTTCATCAGGTGGCTATCTGATGAACGTCGTGGAGCGTGCACAAGATTGTTGATGTACTATGAGTTAGTGCGATTGTTTCACATGTGGTTTGGTTGGTAGTACGACTGCACAAGACATCAGTGTCTTTGACCACTACAGCGTAAATTAAGCTAATGGAAACTGTGTTAAAGCGCAGACAGCCCTGAAAGTTCACCACGTGAATAAGCCGAGTGTACAGGAACATGGATGCACATCTAGCGAACTTCATCCAGAAAATACGAAACGTATTCTCCCGATGCGGTATCACACTGAAACAAGGTCGCTTGAAAAGGTGATCTTGGAAGGAATATTTGCTGAGGGATAGACGTACTAGATCACAGAGGAGATAAATCCCCAGCATTCTGATGACTTATGTTCCCAGGATAACATGGAGACACTGAATGTATTTACAAACGATGGCACAAGTGCAGACGCTTATATGATGGATATGTCAGTACCTCCGAAGTTAAGTTCGGAGATATCTAGATTGCCGATTATTGAATCTGAACAGAAGTTGCGGGATCTGCGTATTGGAAAGGTCGAGGAGGTTGGCGTACACGTCGCAAAGGATGGGTACGTCACCGATATGATTGGCGGTTATCTTGGCTACTAGAAAAAGATTCTCAGTAGATCATTGATGATAGAAAGTGGCCTCGATCAGAGGTCTCAGATTGATCGTTACACGTCTCAATCTTGGGAGTCAATCGGAACAAAAAAATTATCCAAGGCTTTGATCGAATTCAGGGATGTATTCCCTGGATCTGTGCCTATCGAGTTGCCTAATAATATATGTATTAAACACGAAATTGAACATACCACGGATCGGGCGTACTATTTGATGAAGCAGTAGACTCGTAAAGATGCAATTGTTTTCGATAGGCTCTTTGCCGATAGCCTTACAGTGGGTCATGTGAGGGAGCCAAATTTCCCTCACATCTCTCCAACTTTCCGTGGTCAAAAGTCAACAAGGGGATGACGCATTGTAAATGCATTCGGAAAGTTTAATACTGAAACGTTACCGGTCCATCTACGCCGACACCGACGAAGGGCGTTATCATTGATGGTACGTCTGATTGTATCAGCCTTTTATCGATGGATCTGATAAATGGATTATATAGGATTCCATGAGTGTACGGGTCATCCCGTTTACAGCAGTAAGCACTCTCGACGGTGAAACATGTGTAACGGGGCTAGAATAACCCGTTACTTAACTTACACTATTGTTTTGAGGAAGCTCAAAACCCAAGTCTTTGGTGTTTAGTATTTTAACTCTGTTTATATTTTTGTCTTTTAAATCATCCTAAGTACGAATGGTTCCCTTGGACTCATGGGAACCACTCAATCTACGTGCCTATATCTTACTGGCTAATAATGGAGCTGAGCCCATTAAACCAGCTGAAAGATACGACGTGCTACTTTCGCTACTTCGAAAGCAACACCCCTACTTAAGTAACATGTAAACTTAATCGAAACTACTTATGTAACGGGGTGGCCCATTACACCATGGGAGTGACTGGATATGCCACAGTTGCTAAGTAATACCCCTGCCACGTTCAACAGGTGTGTAACAAGTCTGTCGAGATCAGTGCGCGAATTCGTACCGAGTTACTTTGACGGTTTGTTGACTATAGTCAGGCTACGGATGGAAGTCACGCCTTAAACCCCACTGACATCACGTCCGGAAGGTGCCTACACTGAAGTGTAGGAATGAGTTGCACGCCAATCTCAATAACGGTGGATTCGAAACCAGCGAATGCCGAATCCTGGGTGCAACGTTGGTAAACAGCGTACGCCCTAATTTACAGTATTTCAAGGCGTTTACCGACTGGCCCATACCATTCTATGCCGAAGAAATCACAAAAATACCTTGGCTTAGCGGCGTACTGCACAAGAACTCGCACAACTACGCCGAGATGACCTTCCATCTCTCTTGTTTGTTGAAGAAAAACGAAAAGTGGTCGTGAAGTGCTAAGTGTGAGTACATCGTTGAATGTATCAGGTCGCGGTTGTCACTATCACCTCTATTCGGGATTGCAGGTCATGACAGACCTTTCTATGTGGTCTGTGACGCCAGCAAATTTACATTCGGGTTTGAGTGGATGCGAGATAACACAGATGGCGTGGGTCTGTTGCAAATGCACTGAAGTTCCTGCGTGTTCGCTAATCCTACTTGTCGAAGATTGTTTTTGGACGCACAGCTCAATGGTCGATCGCATCAATCATTTCCTTGCGCCATTACACAGTGCAGACAAACGCAGTATACACCATCGAGTGCTAGCGAAGGGCGGACTTCTACACCAGTTGGCAAGACGTGGTCACCCTTCTGACGTACGTGCGAGACAACGCTCAAGCAATCACAGAGGCCGTAGATGAAACGGAAAAGCACGTGGCGGCTTTCAGCGCCTGTACGCATGCCCGGGACACCGGTACCTGAGTCTGCATGTACTTTGTACTGAAGACTTGTCGTTGATCACACATGTTCCTCTTTTTATGCTTAAGCAAAGTACTGCGCAGGAAGACAAAAAGTTCGGACCGAGCGCCTTGCAGATGATCATGCTATATGTTGTTCTGTACGCCTGCGATGTAAGTGTACAAGAACGACAGTGCGGAGTATCAAACGAAAGGACGGTAGACAAAAGCAAGAAGAGGGGGGTTCTTGCTGTAATGATCTTGCGCTTCATGATAACCCATTGACTCACAGTACCGGTCCTCCACTCCATTGGCCGTACTGCCCAACAGCAACACATTTTGGCAGCGCAAAGCCATGGCACCCAGATACAATAATAGGGCCGTAACTTGTTCATCAATGTACACCCGCACGGATTCTGATCAGTTTGCGTTGAGCGCTTGTCTACTCTCGGTCATGTCATACAGCTGCTGATTTCCCCGTGACAGCAGCATCTTCTTCTACTAACCTATGAAAGAATTGTTGAGGTTCATCCAGGTTGTAACGGGGTAGATCGTTACATGATATTGTCACTAAGGATAAAATGACAATTAAGAATATAACGTTGAATATTCTTTCAACAATATCACAAAGTATGATGATATTGTTGAAGATGACCGAAGGATCTACTCATTGGTTGAAATTGTGATGATTACAACCCACCAATCGCTGCTAGACGCGCGCAATGGGTGGTGAGTGGACGTCATCATACTTTAAGTTAGATTAATATAATTAAGTCAAGATAAACCGAGAGATAAGATTGATAGGACTTAATTGTATTAAATAACAGTTTTGCTTTCACCAGAGACTAGCGTGTCTACTAGTCTCCTTTCCTTCCTCTGTGTTGGTGCAACACATAGCAGGGCACTGACTATCACTGTTGTCAGTGGAAGTGAACTCCGTACTAGTCAACCAGTACGTTGTCACCAGTGCCCCGTTACACCTAAGAGCACTTTGGACTCCGTCCAAGGACCACACTTGCATTGGCCAACATGAACATGTTGGACGTAGTCGAAGGCGACAGATTTCACGGAACTCGTGAAAACTACTCCCATTCGAGCGATGTTGAATGATGTGCGATCGAACGAATGAGTACGACCGTTGGAGAGGAAGCTAAATGGGTTATGCTATCCACAAGGAATGGAGACCAGCAGCATTCCGTCATAAGCATGTTCTTGCAGCTAAAACTTGACAAGTCGCGAGCGCAGGTGACCTTGTTTCAACAACAAGATTACCAGCGGACGGAAGAACTGAGACAGAATCAGTCTCAGTTTGCAAGTTCGACGCGTGAGCGTCGATAGGAGTCGAAAGTTAGACATATCCTGTTCGAGCACAGTTGTTCAGGAGACTGATGATTGGATTCTGAATTTATTGCCATTTGCCGTTCCTACCTGTCTGTCGCGGACATCGGCCTTACTGGCTACCAATCGTTCGTAACTACTTGAACGCTGTATACTTCTCTCCAACTTCGACACTGTGAAAATCGACACTCTATGCCATCAAAACCATGTGCTAGCCGTGAGGACGCCGGCTCTCACTGGCTCTATCATTTCTAACACTCCTGCTCGAGTGCGCCTGTGTCGTCAACGTCTTTTTGTCTACGCCACACCGAGGAGCTTTCTCATCGCTGCGAGCTTTGGCGCGTCGAGTGCTTTCGTCAGTGCGTCGGCGAGCTGTTCGTCAGTGTGGACGTATTGAGCCTTGATCACGCCACGACACACCAAATTGCACACAAACTGGACCCGCACTCCTATGTGCTTTGCCTTCATCGATGTCGCTTCACCGTCGAGCTGTCGTATCGCTGCTTGGTTATTAACATGAAGTGTCATGGGCAGCTCAGGTTCCATGCCCACTTCACCGAGCTTTTTTTGAATGCCGAGAAGCTCACGTGCATTCTCCGATGCGGCCACAAACTCGGCCTCCATGGTTGAGAGTGTCACACCGCCTTGCTTGCGGGACGCCCAGCTGATAGCTATGCCGTTCACGAGCACGACACTGCCAGGTAGGGACTTGCGGTCGTTCTTGTCCGCGGCATAATAAGCGTCGCTATACGCCTCGATCGTAATTGGAGAACTCGCGTTATTCACTGGAGTCATGTTCATCTTTAACGTAGTTATCCCTTTGAGATAGCGAGCAATACGCTTCGCCAACTTCCAGTCCTTGAGCCGAGGTGCGTGTGTCTGTCGAGTTGCTTTATGCACCGCAAACACGACATCTGGACGCGTTCAACGTGCTATCCAAAGGAAAGTGCCGACGAGCGAGTGGAACGACTTCACTGTTGGCTCGCCAGACGACGACAAGGCCTTGAGCATCTTCATGTCGTCTTCGTCGGCATCATAGCAGCCGGCGATAATTGGCGCGTGCGTCGGGTTCGCCGCCTCGAGGCCGTGCTCGCGCAGCAGGTCTTTAATAGATTACTCTTGATCTAGCGCGTAGCTTGAGCCGTCACGCGTGACGCGAATTCCCAGAAACTTGCTTACTTCGCCGAGATCTTTATTCGCAAGTGTCGACAAGCTCACAAAGAAACGATCGACAACGGAAGTGCTGGTGCCGGCCACGAGGAGATCGTCGACGTACGCTCCTACAACGACGAGATCGGCAACTTCATTCTTCCAGTACAACACATGTCCGAGCAACAACGTAGGAAGCCGGCATCGGTGAGGCTTGAGTGGAGCAACTGGCTCCACAGGCGTCCCGCCTTCTTCAACCCATACAAACTCTTCTTGATCTGCAACACGACACCGTTCTTGTCCTTCGATCCGAGTTGCTGCAACGTAGTGTCGGTCACCTCCATGTCGCGTGGTACTTGAAGCAGGATCTCGAGGTTAGATTCCTTCTTACGCGAACGTAGGCCTTTGGAATGTCCCCGTGTTTGGCTGGCACGTTCCATGTTGCTGCAAGCGCTCTAATTACCTTCACGGTCGACATTTCCATGACGGCCGCGAAGGTGAGCTGATAGTCAATGCCAAACACCTTTTCATTGCCACACGCGACCAGTCTAGCCTTGTAGCGCTCCAGGTCGCCATGTGGGCGGTTTTTGTTTTGTAAACCCACTTGCTATGCAGCGCGTTGCTACCGGCAGGGCGCTTGATCACACGCCACACATCATTGGCTTCAAGCACTGCGATTTCTTCACGCATCGCTTTTCCCCAGTCGGGACGCTTCGTGCTCCGCATTGCCTGGCTGTAGTTGGTCGGATCACGTTCATACACGTGAGTGGCGATGTCGATCACGCTTGCAGGCTCCTCCTGAGCTGCAGATGCTTGAGCACGCTTCGATGCGCTTCGTGTACCGTGTGCTGTGCGCGTCCACTGCTTCTTCTTCTTCGTGGCAGCCTTCGGTGCTTGCGCAATCGCACGTTCGTTCTTTTCTGCGTCATCTAGTACGCGCTACAACCGGTCGATCTGCTCGTCACTGAGCGTTTCAATGTTTTCTACGTGTTGTGTAACGACGACGACGTTGTATTTCTTCAAAAACACGCGGTACCCTTTAGTTTCGTCGCTGCTACCGACGATCGCTCCTAATTGCGCTCGTTGTTTGAGCGAGATCTTGCGGGGATCCCGATAAACCGTGCAGACCGACCTGAACGCGACGATCTCGCGCAGGTCTGGTGTCTGCTTCGTCAGCATCTGTAGTGGCGACGCGCGACGTGTATTCGCACTGTTTGGAATTCTGTTGAGAACGAATGCAGCGTATTCGACGGCGTCTCTCCAGAACGACAGCGGCAAGCGGCTCGCAAAAATCATCGACCGCGCCATGTTGAGGACCGTACGATGCATTCGCTCTTCCTTTCCGTTTGACGCCTGGTTGCGAGCTTCACTCTTCTGTCGCTCGACGCATGCTGTCTTGCAAAAAAGATCAACGTTCATGTACTCGCCGCCTCCATCTGTGCGAAGCACATGGATGAGGCAGTCGAAACGCTTTTCAAACCACGCCAGAAAGTGTTCAAACTTCTTGGCGGCCTTGTCCTTGGTCAGCGCGAGGAACACGCGGCAGTAGTTGCTGTAGTGATCAATGAAGTTGACCGTATAACAGTTCTTCAGACGGTCGGCGGGGGTCATCGTTCCTTTGAGATCCGAACAGATGACACCGCCGATGCGATCGATCGGGCTGTGCCTGCCGCTTTCTTTCTGCGATTGTCCGTTGCGTTTTTGCTTCGCTTTAGCACAGGTGATACACGTGAGCCTTTTTCGGTCGGAAAGTTCGATCCCGCTTGATGGATCCCGCTCCATTCTCTCGATGGTGTCGAGAGCAATATGACCAAGCCGTTTGTGAAAGTGCATTAGTGTCCCACTCTGCACATCCTGTCGCATGGGCAACGTCGCTTCGTCGGTGATCACCGCCAGTGGCACATCCGTAGGCGATTGCTTGCGTCCCGTTTCTGGCGACTTTGCCACATATTATTTGCTGTTGCGCATTTGCACGTCGAACGCTACGTCGCCTGTGGCTCGATTGGCGAGTGACAGCTGCTGGTCGTCGTGCACGAGACTGTACCCTTTCTTCACAAGCAAGCGTATGACAGTATGTTGCGAGCGAGCAGCGGCGCGAAGTACACGTCTGTTACGCGAATCATACGAGGCTGCTGGTCGACAAACACGCGAATGTCCACACTACCGACAAGCGATAGGCGCAACGGCTCACCATCTGCAACAATGCACTCTTGGTCACATCGCTTTGCGTTTAGCAGCAGTAGCTCGTCGTTGACAATGTGTCGCCTGGATCCGCTATCCAGGATCCACACGCTGCTGTCACAGCTCGACTCTTCGTCGATCGAGAGAGTGGGGTTCGCACCGTCGGTGCGACTGCCACTGGATCTTCCAGTCGGCTTGTTCTCTTTTCTTCGGCAGTCGCGCTTTAGATGACCGACTTTGCCACATCCGTGGCAAATGCGCGTTTCTTTCGTGGCTCGTCATCGATCACGTGCGACACGACGTCACGACCAAATGAGCGACTCGAGCGAGCATCGAGCTCGATTGATTGCGCAAAGTGAGCGAGTTCTTCTGCATGCGCCAGGTGGTCGGCGCGCGAGGTGTCGTACTTCGCCATGAGGACAGTCGTCAGCTCGGCAGATGCATACCGCACGATGTTGTCCAGCACGTTCGAATCGGCACCCCCGTAAGCGTCGCTCACCGCCACGAGATAAAGATATTGTTCTGGCCACGTGCGCTTCAAGTCCTTCTCCGCTGTAAACAGCTTCATGGCCTGCGACGCTGTGATCGTTGTACGGAATGTCTGGAGCATCTTTTCCATGACAAAGTGCAGTGTCGGCAGCACCGACCACCAAACGTCAATCTGCTTGATAAATTAATGTTCTGCAGTGCCCGAGAGATAATGCCCGAGGACGTCAGTCTTGGTGTCTTCGGTCCATAGGAAGCCGCACGCTGCTTGAGCCATGTCGACTTGTCGCCAAAACGACTTACCGTATTAAAGAAGTTTGAGCCTAGACCTTGGTAGAGCTCACTGCCATCAAACTTCCGGATGGCGAGCTTGCGCTGTCGAGCATCGGGCACACGGTACTGCCCCACCGGCACATAAGCAGCAGCAGGGGTCGGTGCTGCTGCTGGTCCAACTTGAGGAGCTTGTGGCTGCCCGAGCGGAGGCGCGTACTGCCGCAACAGCGGCGCATCGCGCGAAACTTAGGGAGGGCCGTGTGGTGACGGGGCGTTGCTCACTGCCGGGGCAAATCTGAGAGCGTCTCGCGTCATCGTTTTTCTCCCAAACTCACGTCCGAGCGCGGAGATGAACATTCCACTCTCAATTTGCCCGTGCATGCGCTCGTCTTCTTCAGCCTTGATCTGCGAAGCCTCCATGCGCATCACACGCTCTTCCAGACCGAGAAGCGCGTTGAGAATCCGTTTGGTGACATCTCTGCTTCCCCTTTCGCGATCAGCTGTTGCGACGTCTTCAGTAGGTGCAGGAGCGGCCTTTTTGCCGTCGTCGTGCTCCTGAGCCAAGGTGAATGTGTCGTTATTGTCGTCAGTGTTCATCGTGTTTAAACTTAGGCTCATAACCTGTTCGAGCACAGTTGTTCAGGAGACTGATGATTGGATTCTGAATTTATTGCCCTTTGCCGTTTCTACCTGTCTGTCGCAGACATCGGCCTTACTGGCTACCAATCGTTCGTAACTACTTGAACGCTGTATACTTCTCTCCAACTTCGACACTGTGAAAATCGACACACTATGCCATCAAAACCATGTGCTAGCCGTGATGACGCCGGCTCTCACTGGCTCTATCATTTCTAACGTATCCAAGTATCAGGAAGTCGAGGGAGACTCCCTGATAAGATGGTTCGTCGAGGTCGACGGTACCATCGAGTCATGTCGCATCGACAACAAGCGAATGCAAGTCGCATTCACTCAGTCTTACTTGGCAGGGGACGACAGATTATGGGCCCTAAATCTTAAGTTACACACCTGAGTTGATCCCAAAATAAAGGAAAATCACGTATGTTTAATTATGTTGATTTATTTAGCAAGTTCGTGCAACTTTGTGCTGCACTCTATTCAATCACACAGCCGAGGGCTGAACTTGTGACTTCATAGACACGGTCTTTAAACACCATAGTTTTTCCGCAAACTATTCTTCGACAGAGACCTTCGGCTCACAGCGAAATTTGGCAATCCGTTTTCGTGCTTGCACAACAAGGTCATAGAAGCCTCCCAGGGCAGAGTTCAGGACGCTATCAAAACTCCTTCAGATCTAACAGGATACGCGTAAGATTCACTATTACGCTCAGCACGTGCGCTACCTTGCAAGTAGCATGGTAGTGAACCCTGTGAGTGAATTTGTGAAGGTCGCAATCTTCATTTAAGGTCTTTCAGATGGTCCTGTCAGGGACCACCTGTTTCGCGGGGAGCTATAGACGCTCTCCGAAGCGATCTGCGCTGTGTATCAAAAAGACTTTAGTGTGAGACAGGCTCACACTATTCTTACACCCTGTCGTCCACAAAGACGATCAGCGGTCGGAGGCCTAGAACCAATGGACCTCTGTCATGTTGAGGGCGAGAAACCTCGCCCTGTGAACGAAAAGCAAAGGGTGAGATGCCATCGCTGTCATAAGCTGGGATACTTGGCATTCGAGTGCAGTATCTCCCGCTCAGAACCCCGCTGTGCTGAGCGCAGTAACCATCCATCAGTAAGAAAAACTGGAGGACGAGGATCTGCTGCTGTTGCAAATCCGCAACAGCGAAGCGGACCATCAATAATGGTCGGGGTCAGTAGGGGAGAATCACCCTACTGATCTAGCAACATCGAGAGAATTTGCAAATCTCTTGACGAAGGTTGCTCTCGACACACATTCACTGTGTGTCTCTGCACCTGGTGATGATATATCACTTATCACCTTGAATTAAGAAGTGACAAAGGACATGTCACTTTGCTCCCTCGTTGATTGTGGGGCGTCGAAGAAAAATTTATGTCGCCAGTCTATAGAGGCAAGAAATTTCAACTTCGTAGAGCTGGAGATCCCTCCAACGAGAATGACGGTGCGTCTTGCGACAGGCGCATCGATCACTGTGAAGAAACGTGTAGTCGGAATCCACTAAACGTTGAAAGATGAACAGTTTGATGACGGCTCCATCGTACTCGACCTGGATGACAAGTTTGATGTCATCCTAGGACTACCTAGGCTCAGGAGACACGAGCCAAGGGTGAGCTGGCAGCATCGATTAGTTACGATACCTGCTACTTGTTTCTCAGATGACGATCTGAAGAATGTCTTGGAACGTCCACATTCACGTGGGTGTACTACGAGCGAGTGATATGGACTCACTCGTTGTACGGTCGTTAGCAAGACTGTACAAGAAAACAATGTAGATGATCACTACATTGTGTAGAAAGCTCTTCTGGATTATGTAAATGTGACTTCTTAGGAAGTAATCGAGACAGTGAATGTCTTGGTTAATGATGGATCAAGCGAAGGCACTTACACGCTTGATCTGGTTGTGCCTCCGAAACTCACTTCGGAGATAACTCATATGCCTACGCTAGAACCGAGACGGTTCTTGCGTGATCTTCGCAGTGGCAAAGTCAAGCAGATTTGTGCACTCGTCGCGGAGGACGAGTTCTTTATCGATATTCGATCGGCAATGTTTTTCACTGAGCCCGGACAAGCTCTCAGCAGTTCGTCGATGGACGTAAGCGTCATCGATGAGAAGACTCGGATTGAGAGGTATGAATCTCAATCCTGGAAGTCGCTCCAGGAAAATCCTTTTTACAAGGATTTGATCGAATTTAAGGATGTGTTCCCTGAATCCGTGCCTTGCGAGTTGCCTAAGGACAAAGGCACTCGACACGAAATCGAGCTCAAACCGAGCTCAGAGTACTGTTTCATGAAGCAGTGGCCGCTGACTCGTGAACAGGTGCAAGCGATCGATTAGTTCTTTACCAATTGCTTAGCGGCAGGTCATGTGAGAGAATCAACTTCCTATCACAGCTCTCCGACCTTCTGTGTGCGAAAGGCCACAGGAAGGTGGCGGATAGTGCACGCATTTAACAAATTGAATGCTACAACGGTACTGACTAGGACGCCGATAACGAGGAAGGACGTGATCATAGATGGTATGTCAAAGCGTACCATCTTCTCGTACCTGTATCTGATGGATGGATTCTATCAGATCCTCATGCGTGAACGGGACATCCCGTTCACGGCAGTGAGTACCCCCAGCAAAATGATGTGGGAGTGGCTAGTTATGCCACAGGGGCTGATCAATGCCCCTGCAACATTCAACAGATTTGTTACAAATCTGTTGAGACCGGTGCGAGACTTCACACCGAGTTACTTCGACGATGTGTTCGTCCATAGCCGGGCTATGGACGGAAAGACGGACGTTGAAGTTCACAGAACTCACGTTCGTCAGGTTCTTCAACTTATGCGCAAGCATAAGTTGTACGCAAACCTTCAAGAAGTGTATATTCTCGGCAAGCGAAATACCACTTCCTGAGTGCATCGTCGGCAAACACGGCGTACGCCTTGATCCCGAAAAGATCAAGGCTATCACCGACTGGCCAGTGCCAGTCGATGTCAAGGGACATGAATTTTTTTTGGCTTAGCGGCGTACTTGCACAAGCACTCGCCCGACTATGCCGAGATGACTGTTCATCTTTCTTGCCTGCTCAAGTAAGTTGTGAAGTTGTCATGGAACGCTAACTGTCAGATTTCCTTTGAAAGCATCAAGAAAAGCTTGATGCAATCGCCCATCTTGGCGATTGCGGATCTGGACAGACCATTTTATGTGGTCTGTGACGCCAGCGATTTCGCAATCGGCTGTGCGTTAATGCAGTTCGATGCAGATAGCGCGGAGCGCGTCATCTGTTATCAATCGCGTCAGCTGCAACCAGCAGAACGCAATTACCCAGTGAATGACAAGGAACGCCTTGCCATGAAGTATGCACTGACTAAGTTCCGGGTCGATCTCCTGTTAAATAGACCGTTCATTGTCTATACAGACCATGCGTCACTACGCACGGCCGTAAACAGTCCCCACCTCTCGCAACAAATGGCGAAGTGGTTATCTTTCTTCGCGGAGTATAACTTTTTCGTCAATACAAATCAGGACTAGTAATCGTCGTCGGTGATGCGTTATCACGTCGGCCAAATTTCGAGCCGACTACACCAGTCAATAGTGAGGCTTTGCCCACTGAAATGGCGCTGTCAGTCAGTGTGCCGTCGTCGCCTTTACTCGACGACGTGCAGAAGGCGTACGCTGGAGATGCAAACCTCCTCCGCTTGATAGGTTATCTTTAAAACCCATCCCGGAAATCATTGTCGGATTAGCCGGCTCTATACCGTTCCTCGTTGGATCGGTATACGACTCACAATGGCCTTCTGTACTATACAGCATTTGCTGACGACACCCCTCGTGTCGTCGTTCCCGATCTTGATGATTTACGTTTACGCATCATGTTATAATCACGATGTGTCGTCAGGCGAGCATCGTGGTAGGGAGTAGAATTACCTCACAGTAAGTCGTGACTTTTACTGGACCCGCCAGTATTAGTTTTTCCGCAAGTACATTCATTCTTGCGAGGTCTGCCAACAAGTGAAGCCTAGTTCTTCATCCCGTGCACCGAACAAACCTCTGACGGTACCGGCAGAATGTTGGGAGTCCGTCTCCACGGACTTTGTCTTTGGGTTTCCCAAGTACACTCACAATAATAATGGTATTCTTGTGTTAGTCGATCGTTTCAGCAAGATGGTGCATCTTGCTGCGGCCCCCGACTCTCTCACGGCTCAAGGCTGTGCGCGTGTCTTCATCGAAACGATATTTCGAATCCACGGTTTAGCCCGTGAACTCGTATCGGAACGTGATCTTCGTTTTACGGCGACTTTTTTGCAATCCGTGCTCCGCGCTTTGGGAACACGGCTGGAGATGTCAACCTCTGACCATCCTGAAACAGGTGGTCCGACAGAGCGTGCAAACCTCGTCCTCGAAGAATTACTTCGCGGATATGTCCACTGTTCTCGAGTTGGAGTGAGTTCTTGCCGATGGTCGAATTCGCCATCAACAACTCCGTGCATGCGTTCACGACGCATACACCGTTGTACGTGAATGGCTTACGCCACCCAAGTATTCCTGCACTTATACAGAGGTGCTCTGGGTTAAGGAAGCGAGGTACTCGCTCGAGCAAAAAGCGTTTTGGCTCTTGCTCATCACGTATCATTGCACATGCCGATACGTTCAATGTCGATGTCAATAATGTCGACATCGGAGAAGTTGATATTATCAGTAGCGATGACGCTGCTACTACTTCAGACAATGACGACGCTGCTGGGATATTCAGCATCGTCAACGATTATTCCAGCGAGGAAGTGGACAACCTCGCTGAAGAAGAGGAAAATCTCTCAGCAGTGCGCACGAAGCGCACTGAAAGACAAAACATGGAGTCAGCAGAGAACGTCCTGCTGACTAGAAAGGCGGTGGTTCGTTTCTTTAGGGAATCCATCAAAAATACGGTGGACCACCAAAAACGGAACACAGACAAGAATGGAAGAGCAAATGTTCCT